CAGAGACGAGGTGGCCAAGGGTCGGCTTGAGATTGTGCATCTGCGCACATCTGACATGCCAGCAGACATCCTGACCAAGTCGCTGCCCAAGCCCAAGGTGCTTGAGATGGTGAAGATGCTTGGATTGGGGACTTGATGGATTAGGGGGGAGTGTTGGAGTCGGTGCTGTAGCGCCGTCGATTTTAATCGCACCAAGTCCCGCATCGCGCCATACATAGTTCGCACTGTCCGCTATCTACGGTAATTTTCGTATAGTCACAACTCTCGTTTCCATACAGATATCGCATTTCTTTCACTAGTAGTCTCCATTTCTGTAGATCTGACTGCACTCTAGAATAGTGTCTACCTTATGCACTTCTGGTCCGTTTGGCGCCATTCCAGCGCCACGTAGTGTATGGTTGTGTTAGCTAGTTCCCACGCGCTCTGTGCGCCGTCATCTGCGCCTGAGTCGACTCTGCAGTCCTTAAGACTTACAGAGCTCGACTTAGGTGTGTAGCACAGTTTCCTTGCAATGAAAAGACTTACAGAGCTCGACTTAGGCCATTGTGACCCCTCTGAGGCCCACTGCAGCTAACAGCGCTCTGACCGAAGTTTCGTGTTGACGTTTATCACTGCGCGCACCCATCATCCCTCTCTGTCGACACTCGGTTCTGCCCATGCATCCCCTCCACTATCTCAAACTCTTGACTGTGCCCACCGACACTGCTGCCACAGTGACTTCGCACAGTTGTGCCCGTGAGCGCTTGTAGTCTAGTATCTAGTAACGTGTAGCACCCTATTGCACTTTCGAGGCGTACGGGGTTTCAGATATCCCTGTGCCAGGCCATGCACTTGCGCCCGCCAGCACTTGTACCGGCATTGTTAGTGACCTTAGGACTGGAGGACAACCATGTGGACCCTCCTTATGATAGCCTTTTGCATATGTACCTAGCTAGCTTTTCTTGGGCACAGTTGGCGACTTCTACCCGGGTTGTAGGCATCTCCAGCTTGCTTGCTTCCTGGTTGCCTCAATAGGTGTTCATATCTTGTTGCTTTCGCACGTGGCTCTCCATCTTATATCGCGTTTCCCTGTCTCCTGGCTGTTTTGGATCTGACAACAGCAGCGGAACCTTCTATCTCTTCTGACGAGGAGGTCGAGCAAGCAATTGGCCCTGACCATCCTGCCTCTGAAGAAGAAGAACCTCCTTTCAATTGTCAAGGTCTACCTCACATCTACGACCTTGAGGACGGTTGTGATCGAGCATACAAGCTTGATACAGCAGAGTGGCGCCAGTGCGACGAGGACATCTGTCCCAATCGTTTTTCAGGACCACTTAGTCCAGAAGATTTTCCCTCAAGCTTCCCCTTTGCCCTCTGCTCCGATGTTCAGACAACCGAACCATTTATCCACGCTGCTGCTTTTGGATTACCGGACTCAGAGCCTCCAACGCCAGTCCCGGTATCCATCCCTCTTCACTATCTCGAGCAAGACTTTGATTCTTTCTTTCACGCTCCACCTCCATCACACTCAGACGATTTCTTTGATTGTCATCTCCTACTCCATTCCCTCGTCATGTTGGACAAGGTCGACTCGAGTTCTCTCACGTCCCTTTCCAACATCAACCAGTACCCCAACTGGGCTGCGCAGATGAAGTGCTATCTCATCATGATTGGTTCCTGGAGCATCACCAACTCAACACCAACTACTCCCAGTGATGCTGAAGCACTTAAGGAGCACAACCTTAAGATTCAGAGGGCCCAGAGTATTATAATGATGAAGGTCGATCGTTCACTCCATTGTCTCCTCGAAGATGATGCTGGCTGTAACGGATCGTTCATTATCTTATCTTATCTACGTAGTTAATCTACATCTTGTATCTACATCTGGATCGTCATGGTGATCGGCGCTGATCCATCTGGATCCGCGCAACGTGGCGAAGGCTTCTCAGCCTTTCACCACGTCCACCATAGTATACGCCCTCTCAATCTAGAGATTGGTTCAGTGTACTTTGGACTTGTGTGAATCAGGCGACACCCGTAAACATTACACTTTTTTACACTTCATACCACGAATACGTGGGTTTCTAGATTGTATTGTGCGTTAGGCACCTACCATGACGGAACCCTCGACATCACACGCGACACACCGTGAGACCGCGAGCTCGACTCGAGCTTCGCCTCTGAGGCGGTCTCCCCGAGACCCGGACACTTCGTCAGGAAGCTCTATCCCCGGAGGTCCTAGCTCGTCTGGCAGATGTGCGGACTCACTCCGAAACGGCGCTCCCCTAAGGTCCACAGGGACCCGCCGGTTCTCTGAGGACATAGCAAGTAGTTCGACGCCTACTGCTAGTCGCCGACAGGAAGTTGCTCCCGAGAATAGCTCAGTTCGAGCAAGCCCGGCGATATCGCAGGGTGGGGTAAACCCGACGTCAGTAGCGTCGAACCCCTTAAGGAACGTAACCATTAGGTCCAACCGAGATAGGAACTCTGCTGGTAACGCAGGAGCGTTAGCAGTATGAGACGCCGCGGGGGATGGGGACAACGAGCCCTCCAATGCACTACCAGTGCGGAGGTCTCCGGTCATGCAATTGAGGATGCAACAGTTCCTCAATATTTTAGGGCGCACCGCCCAGCTTGGGGTGTATATAGCTGAGGCCACCGACCAGGAATGGTCCCCGCGTAGGGCGTTGTCTTACGTGACGGAGAACCTCGAGATGGAGGGCGTACACACTCTGGCGACGTGGCTTCATAACCACGCGCTGGATCCAGAGGCAAGTACGCCCGAATGGGCGTCGCGGATGCTAGAGTCGTATCCGACTCGCCGCGCCAGGATAGTGGAGGAGAGCACTACTGAACAGCAGTCGGAGCAACAATTGCAACCACCACCACCTGAACCCGCGAACCAACAATATGCGCAACCGTCGGTTGCAGAGGTCGCGGACGAGTCACCGTCCTGACTAAATATAGCCTACGAAACGGCGACGGAGCAACTGCAGGAGTTGCCAGACATGGGCCTCGGATTGATACAGGATGGGGAAACTGTTCAACCGAACAGTAACCCTGCCCCTGAATTTCATCAACGGTTAGAGGCCGCACTGGCTCATACTCGAGACCAGCGCGAGCAGAACGCGGGCATCGCGGTTCAATCGAACCGCGTTGCGTCTCATCCAGGAAGTCGGGAGTCGCCTACGACCCTCGTCTCGAGGACACCACCATCGTATCCCCCAGGATACGGACCGCGAACTACCCGATCGCCCGCGCCGAATCCGCCGAACCAACAGTCGGCCGCGACGGTTAGGGTCACCAACGTGGCGGCCCAGACAGAACGTCGCTGGAGCGTCCACTTTGGACAGGATAACGCCCACTGCGCGCCGACAAGATCGTCGCCATTAGCGGCCTACCCTCCCTACGTCGCACTCGGCGTGTCGGCACCGCCCACTCACGTTCATTCAAACATGGGCTCGATAAGTGGGCATCGCAACCGGCCTAGTGCACCACAGGTGCATCCAGCCGCTTCGGCCGCCCCATACGTAGGAGCGACGTCCACCATTGGTGGATATCAGCTGCCTCTACTGGGTGCGCCGAGCCAGGTAGCGGCGAGCCCTGACCACACCAATCTCCGAGACAGTCTCGGGATCAGCATGATCTTGAGCATATTCGACAAGTGTCTGGGTGAAGACCCCGACGAACCACTACCGCCATACCTCAAGCAGATCAAACTGAAGGCACCCGACCCTTTCGATGGAAAGGACGACAACGATGCCTTCAATGTCTGGCTAGAGAATCTCTTGTCCTATCTGGACACCCTCAGACTGAGGGGACCGGACTTGGATATTCAGAGAATATCCTTCACCCGTCAGTGCTTGACGGGTGAAGCAGCAGTCTGGTATCAGCAGACGGTTACGTCGCCGATACGGCCAGTAGATAGGCCCATGTCACACCTCGAGTCCATCATAGGACTATACCGCCGTTTCATCCCAACGGATCAGTTCGCTGTAGCAGCGCGCGAGTTTGCGAGTGTTCGATTCGAACCTCACAATGGCGGGGTATCGAGGCTGTATGACCGACTGGTCTATTACGCGGAACGAATGTTCCAGCCGCCGACTCAACAGGACATCAAGGAGTGGTTTGTAGCAGCGCTACCCGCTTCCATTGAGCGCGAGCTGACTATCAGCCGGGGCCTGCACATTCGGCGTGACGACTTCGTAACATTCGTGTCTGCCGCGCGCGAGATAGAGGAAGCAATGGCTTCCTTTAGGTCGCGTCAAGGGCATGATGGGTCACAACAGCGGACGTCGACGTCGACGCCGCCGCGCCATAGCTCGACTTCCAAAGGGAAGTACCGAGCGGATCGACCCCCTTCTCAACAGGCCCCACAACCTCGACCAGGTGGTTCGGGTCAGAGACCGGAACAGAAAGGGCAACCTTTCCGTAAGGACGGTCGACCACATCGTCAAGAGGTACCGCGACAGGGACAGTCGAAATCGACGCCTCCCAACGTCGGATCATCGGGGGGTAACAACCCCAATGTCAAATGCTTCAAGTGCAGCGGACAGGGTCATATTTCGACTGACCCAAAGTGTCCGCAATATGGCAAGCCCGGCCGTATGTACGCCCAGCGGATCGTCGACGCCGACGACTTGGACGGTGAGGCCGACGGCCTCTCTCAGCAGATCCTACAGCAACAGAGCGGTCCAGAGGACATGCCTGGAGAGGTCCAGGGCGACGTCGATGACGACGTGGATCTACCGGAGTTGGATTACGACGCCTACCACTTGGACTACGATTCTCCAGAGGATGAGCCTGACTGGGATGACGACGAAGGCCGCCGTGACAAGTTCTACGTCATGCGCGCCGAA